GCTTTAAATAGGGAGATATCAACAGTAGTAGATAGGAATGTCTATACAGAAGTAACATTGGAATCACAACATAGTTTTGGTCTACATAATTACATGCTAAATGACTACTAAAAAACAACATACTAAGTTGCCAGTACTTTGTTTAAGCATTAGCTATTTTGCTCTAGATCAGTATTTTCCAAACTTTTAAGTGCCTTTCTGAAATTCTTATGCCCCTCTGGGTGAGACATGTAACACTAATTATGTATTGGGATTCTCAACTACTATGTTTAGACATCATCCCTACATGTAGTAATTTTTCACTACCTTATAACTGCCCTTTAAATGTAATACATCTCGCAAAGAAAGTTGCTCGGCAGTAGAAATATGTGAGATGTAGGTAGATAACAATGCAGACAAGTTTCTACCGAGTACCTAACATTGAACATATTGTTAAACTTTCGAGTTTGATATTCATTATTTATATTATTAACCGGGTTCAACATAAATAATTTCAAATAATTTACTTAACTATTTAACTTCTCTCAATGTCAGCTTATGATCATGGCTAGTACAATGTAGAGAGAGGTTAATACCTTTATTTTCCATATAATTGTTTGTGTTAAGACCCGGTTAATAATTTAAAATATTGTGGTCAAAATAGTAACCATTGTCTACTAACATCTTTAATAGTGACATTTCAATTAAAAGGCAGGCAACAAGTGATAAGTAAATCATAACTCAAGTAGTACACATAATTATTTGAAATATTACACCAGTATCTGTTTGTTGGTAAACATTAACATAAACATAATGTTCAATTTATCATTATAAGTTATAGAATAAGTAAACAGAGTGTAAGATTTTGTTTAAATTAAGTTAAAAACAATGTACCTTAGATCCTCTATTATACAGGCATTTCTTGCAGATATTATTACACTTGATCACTGACACTACATATATCACTATACTTCATAAAATTATTACATGTTTTAGAATTATCGTAAATAATTTTAGTTTATTAAAAATTTTATATTCTGCGTAATGTACTACGAAACTAATTAAATCAAATTAAAACACATTATTATTCTTGTACTTAAAAAGAACATATTAACACAATATATAAACTCAAAAAAAAGCTTTGAACATTACTTTTATTTAATTTTGAACAATATTAACAAATATTGTGAAAATTATAAAAATAAACAAAAACTTTTAGGTTAGGTTAACCACAGCGTCACGGAAAATTAGTGATGTTCCATTTCAGTCACTGTCAACTCAGTAGTGTCAACTGTCATATCACGAGGATGAGCATGAATATTTGAGACGGTTTCACCCAAAAATACTGTACCGGTTCGAATGAAATTTTGTACATAAATAAATTGCATCCTAAATTAACAAACACAGGATATTTTTAATGCGAATTCACGAGAGCAATGCCGACAAAGTAAACCCTGAGTAGCCCTGGGGTCTGAGCCCGGGCCCTGAGTCCCGTATATTACGAAGCAATGTGTATAATAAGAATAACAAAAACTTGCTTTTGTCATAGTAATTTATACTCTTAGGAGTTTTTCAAATGGACGTTACATGTAAGCAGAAATATAACATACGTAATTTAAACTAAACTGTAAAAGTAGTTTATAAATCATAATTTTATGAGTGCATGCATTCCGACTTTTATGTTTTGAGAGTAAGTATGTACATTAGACTGTTCAAATAAAAGTAAATTAGATTCTTATATAAATGTTCAAAGTAGACAAAGTTTAAATTATACATAATAAAATTTATATAACACTATTAGTTGCTATTCTGACTTAAATCACACTAAGATAAATAATTTATTAGTTACATGTGGACTATTTAACAGTTGTAACAGCAAATCATTGGCATTTGGACTTATATTGTAACACAATTAGTATTAATTTTTAATTGTAACAAGAAAATATTGGGTATTTATTTAATTTACCCTTGATTGTTACATTAATTACCTTAATTTTGATTACATATTCCATTTAACTATTTCATTTTCAGAGTTATATTTTCAGAGATATACAAACTAAGTTGTACGGTATATAATTGCAACCGTGAAGTAGTTTGTACTTAATTGCAAAGTTATAGATTTTAATTTGTGTAATCCTATTTGAAATTATCAGTAATAGAGCTTTATCCTATCATTCTCCATCTATTTATGTATAGTATATAAATAATCTATAATGTACCTAGCATTCACTGTACTAGTAGCGTTTATGCAGATAGCTATAATTTTGTTTTCAACACTGCTACGCAGTTTGACAGTACGAGTGAAAAACGGAACGCGCTTTAAGTTTAGTTGTAAACACTTTGATTATGTCAATAAAATTCGTTTTCTATTTTTCTTATTACCTGAATGTTTTAGATTGAAGTTTAAGAAAAATAGTTATTGCTAAAATGTATAAAGGACATAAAAATGCTAAACATGGTGAAAGTGGTCGGGTAACCCTCAAATATCTTTGTTGTGACAACAATATAACCTAAAATTTGTGTGAAATGTTCTTACTTGTTTACTCGTGGAATATGTGTTATTTCCTCAAAGAATGTGCTTACCTAAGTGTTTTATTTACATTTTTATAATAGTGAAGTGCAATTTTGGCTCCTGGTTGCCGATCTCAGGTAAGTACAATAATGAATTTACTAGAACATTATGAACGTATAATTCTTGTATTTGGGATATTTGTTTACTTTTTTGAAGGTTTAGATATTGTAATATGTGTGAATGAACATATATTTTGACTTACTCTTAGCCATGTGTATACAGTTTTCTATATATGTATCAAAGTTGATCTTGTCTATAAGTTCTTTGATGACAACATTGTTACTACTTATATCAAAATTTTTATAATGTTATATTTGTTTATATATATAAAATTTATAATTTTTAGTCTATATTATATTGTCATTTGTTGCCAAACATATAGTTCATTAATTGAAGAGAGCAAAAATATTTATATTTTTACACCATCAAAAGTGGGATGACCTTGAACACAATGTTTTTATACTGCGATCAACAATAAAAAAAGGTTATGGTATGGTAAATAACTGTAACTAGTTTTGGAATTTTATTTTTTCTCATTTTCAGATATATTGCAACATTTTGATATTCAAATTAGAATTAAATAATTTCTGAAATGATTCTTTGTTTTATTTTCAATGGCATAATTATTATTTAATGAGATTGTGTATTATTAGATACATATTCAATAAACTTTCAATTAGCAATCACTGTTTGTTAGCAATAAATATTTTAGGCTAAATTCAATCATTGTATCCCTTTTACCCCATTATTTGGGGTTGGCAGTATGTCTTCTTTCAGCAGTCCTTAGCAGCCAATATGATATAGCTGAGCAAATTGTACTTTTATGCACAATGAAGAAAAAAAATAAAAAAACTTCATAAGATGTTTTCGTAGTAGACATATTTTGGCTTTTGATAACACAAAATATGGCTACAGAAGACATGATAGTTCATTAACATATGGAAGATTCTAGAGTTGTGTTCTGATGACCCTATAGGCAAGTTAAGATGGTCCCTGCAGCTGTGCGTACTTGACTCGCCTAGTAGTGGCTGGTATTTATCTATTGTCCATACATACATGCGGATCAGCCAAGGAGTCAAAGGGTATTTATTTTTAATATTACTCCATCGGACTTTCTATGATTTTGCCAATGCCAAACTTGGAGTATAATAATAATAATGTTAGGACAATTCACACAGTTCCATCTAGTCCCAAATTAAGCTAGCAAAGGCTTGTGTTATGAGTACTCGATAAATGTTACAAATCCATAGATATATATTTTTTGTAAATACATACATATTATGCATAGAAAACATTTAGATCTAGACAAACAATCATACTCATAGATACAAAAGTTTGTGCCATGTGAGGAATCGAACCTGTGACCATTGGAAGTAAGGTAGTGTGCTAAACCGCTAGACCACAGAGGCCCTCAAATATAATAATACACTATTTATATTATAACTATTACTGACCTCCGTCTTGTGCGGGTGTACATGTATTATATATAAAAATCTTCCTCTTGAGTCACTCTATAAAAAAAACTGTATCAAAATTTGTTGCATAGTTTTAAAGATTTAAGCATACATGGGGCCAGACAGCGATATTGTTTTATACTATGTAATGATGATGATGATGATGATATGTGGGAGTGTATTTAAGTAATTGGAGGTTTTTAAGAAATTTCTCTTACCACACTTGGGAGGGATTCAATTCTGTCAATCAATCCATAGCATAGGCAGAGTTATTATAGCACCAGTCATACATCAATGCCACAGGTATATTTATATAATAATATAATATAAGTTAAATATATAAATAACTTACTAATAAGCTTTCATTCAATTTCATTTCCTTTCTGATATATAATATATTATAATTAAAAATATTGTTTGTATATTACAAGTGAATACTGTAGTATATGAGTATGTGTATGAGTATAAAGTCATGAAAATTAATATGGACTGCGAGTATTACTTTAATTTGTGGAAGTGAGTTTTTTGGGACTGAATAAAATAGAATAGAAAATCATTTATTCAAAAAAACTTAAATTAAGCACTTATGAATAGTCATAACAATTTTTTATCTACCGCTCGCTCGGAAATCACGAGAACGAAAAGAAACTTGTGTGTTGCTCTTTTAAATAATCGTTGTAAGTTCACATTTCCAAGTCGAAAGGTGAGATTTTTATCAGAGTCAAATATAAATACATAATAAAATTAAATCAGTCATAGTGATAAGAGCAGACCTATCCTAACAAGCAGCACTCGTTCACGAGTATGACGGATGAGCCAGCCATCTATTCGGGTGTACATATACCTATTATATATATAAACCTTCCTCTTGATTTACTCTAACTATTAAAAAAACCACTTCAAAATCCGTTGCGTAGTTTTAAAGATTTAAGCAGACATATGGACGGACAGACAGCATTATGAAAGGGTTGGGATATTCCCGGGGGAAATGAATATAGTTTTCTATTAGGGCCAAACCGTACACCACATTACTTCCGATGGTCGCGAGTTCGATTCCTTGCGGTGTAAACATTTGTATTTATGAATATGATCGTGTGTATTCGAAATGTTTTCTATGTCTATTATATATATATAATAGACATATAATTCACGAACATTTACAGAAACAATATATTTATCTATTCATATAAGTCATTTAGTATACATAACACAACCCCTGCTTAGCTTGGGACTAGATGGCGCGGTGTGCATGTCCAGGTATTATTCTTATTATATTGTTATTTATGACTACTATACGTAATATAAAATCTCAATTTCAGGCCCCATACGGTACATACCTTCTAGAAAGGGATATTTATTACTATTAAACGGATACACATATTGGCAAGACGCAAGAAACAAAACTGCCATTCATTGGTATTGCTCAAAGAGACACCAGAGGTGCAAGGCGCTATTGAAAATGGATCACGTTAATAACACCATATTGTATGCGATAACAAATCATAATCATGAAAAATCAAAATATTCGTATTATCATAATTAATACATTAAGTATATTCGTATAATTAGTAAAAATTACGGGAGCTTATCACGTTTTTTTTATTGAGTTACCAATATTTCAGCAGTGTTTCAACCGCCATGATTACGGGTAAACAGAAGAGAAGCGGGTTGATGGTAAATAAAATCTTTTTAAAACAGTATATAATATGAGATATGTAAATGATCTCATAGATCATGATAATCATTGTCATGATGGAACAACGATACATTTTGTTGTCACAGCATTAGATGACGTGAATATGTTCGAAGTGACTGACATCTGTATAAAGAAAGGGAAACCGCTAAGAAGAGTCAGTTGTTAAATATCTTTACATTAATAAATAATAATATTCATTTCATAAATGAAACACATAGATATAATTGTTGTAGTTCATTACTATATTATTAGGTTAAATTTTTCCTTTATTGAAATTACACCAAGATTAACCGAGGCACTTTCTGGGATAATTATAGAAAAACTACGCTTAATATATGTACGTAAACTATTTATGTATTTTAGCATTAAATTAATAGTGCTGGAAATTTATATATGTAATTATATTATTATTATATGAATAAAATTGTAATGTAAGTGTGTCATTTTGTAATTTTCTGATTATTGTTTTTTCTATCTTGATTCCTGTACTGCTAACACAATGTATAATATATAATTAAACAATTACCACATTATTATAAACTGCAGCGAATTGTTACTTCATTTTGATTAATATTAATAGAATAATTCTAATTTCAGCGCCCATAGTGTACATTCCTGGTACTAAAGGTGTGTATATTTTTATTTTAATAATTTCTACTTGTAAAATGAAGGAAACAAATTTCTTACTTTTTCTTTTATCGTATCATTTGTACTTATCAAAATATGTATGTCTCCCTTATTCTCGTCATTCAGGTGATTTCACTGTTCTTTCTGGTGATATCGTCTCACTCAATTTTACTTACTACATTACATGGAATTTTAGAATATAAAAATAATAATATTTTTACATATTATCTGCACTCATAAAAAAAGCTTTTAACCCTCTGGGCTTAGTTCTCTCTTCCATCTCATAATATACTTTGGAGACATATTTAAATGGGTACTTAAAGATTTCATTTATCCTGATTTATGTGTTTTTATTAATTTTTAGTGAGACCAACATTCGTCAACTTTCGCAACGGAAATCTTCTTCTATTCAATGGGTTTACATACAGCAAATCGAACAGATTAAACTGGTATTGTTCGAGAAGAGTCACATGTGGATGCAAGGCGAAAGTCAAGCTGACCACTGACGAAAAATATATTGATAGATTGGTGCATTGCCATGTTCATGGTCGCGAGAAATATGTGTTATCTTCTGATGGAAGTCTCACTAAAGTGTAAGCAAGCGTTGCGTTAACTGATTCGTATATAAGTCACATTTTAAATAAAATGTAAACTGGGTTGCATTGTGTGCGAAATCAATGACGTGTTCCTACTCTGTACTACTCTTATATCTTCCATATAGCTGTGCTTCATGTTCATGTTTCAAAAGTAGGATATGAGAATGAAAATTACTTGTTACGTGCTAAGACATTTAGAAGTAGCAATGTTTAAGTTTTATTACTCTACAACTTCTAGTATTGTCTATAGATCGTTTATGTTACGTCAAGAATATGAAGAATGTAATTAAATTTGTATATCAATAATAATGTTAGCTAATTAAAAATTAATTCCACTATTAAGATCTGTAATACTATTAAAATAATTATATTTGTCACTGTTACTTTGTCGTGCGGTTTTAGGATTTATTAAGTAAATATTTTATTAATAAGTAGAGATAGTCCTTTTTTATTTAAATATTTACAATCGTAGAAAAGTTACTTAATTCGTTGTGTAATTTATAAAGAAATTTTCAATATTACATGTAAAATAGTATACGTTATGTGAATCTAATCATTAGAAATATAAAATATATGCAATATATGTTTTAATTTAGTATTTAGTACAAAGTCTAACAATATAAAAACAAATATATTATAATTTTGTATTGTATTTGCATTTTGTTTTGAACACCGGTCATCTGAAATATGACAATTGGCTTTCTAGAAATGGTTGATGATTTGGTCATTTATTTTGATCAGTTTGATCAATACGAACATGAGCCCAAATATGAATAAGTTAGGCCATCGAGGAGAATTTACTGACACCAATCACTTGTACCATGTATGTATGTGTAATACGACGTTAGAATTTATTTACCAAAAATTCAAGTTTAAATTTTGACGGAGATAAAGATAATTGAATTCGATTAGTAACTTCCATTAATTAAAAAAAAAAACTAGTATTATTGGTGATTGTTGATGAGTGTAATAAATTTTAAATTTCACCTCGTCGGATTCTTGCAATAAAGTTTAGATCCGATATATGAATGAAAATTGATTTTGTAAGCCATAAAGTTGAATAAAATCATAGAAGTACTATAGTGCCATCATTGTGTTATAGTTCAGGGAAAGGATTCATATTAAGTTATTGTAATCATCTTATTAAATAAGAATGTATGTTCTATAGCCATGCTTGAGGTATATTTCATATGGTAAATTAATAAATGAAAATGAAAGTAATCATTCTTTTGATTGTTTTTCTTTGATACGAATATTCTAAATCTAAGCTGTCTTCTAAAATGGAGGTGGTATACAATGAGGTAATAATATATTAATACTGTTTTACGATTTCGCATGTATAATGTCAGAAGATATTTATTTGAGACCTATATGTATGTTACTTGATGAAATAAGAGAGAGATTAAATGAATATAAATTAAAAGTGGTCACATTCGGTTATTTTCGTGGTCAAATATGATCTTTAAAATCTTATTTCCAGCATTCGACGAATATAAGTTCATACCAACGCCACGTGGGAAGAATCTGTTGATGCTTAATGGATACACGTACTCGCAAATGAAATCGTCAAGTAATTATTATTGTTCAAAAAAACAATCCGCCAATTGTCGGGCTCGTGTCAAATTAAACGAGAATGGTGACGTTGTAAGGGCTAATTATAATCACACACATCTACCACCGAAGTATTTTAAGACATCTTCAGGACAGTATTACAAATGTAATTAGATTATTGATATAATGCCGGCTTATGTAGGAGCAATATGAAAAGCATCACAGTATAATATTTGATGTATGTGATTTTAATTACATTTCAACATTGGAAAAATTAATATGATGGCATTTTACAAGATTATTTTGTCTAGAGAGGTGTTCGTTTTACAACCGTATTTCTAACGGTTTCCGAATTGAATTTATTTGGATTTAGTACAAACTCTTGTATTTTAAGGTTCATCTTAGATCTAAGTCTATATATTTCGAGTCTTTTTTTAATCTGTGGAAAATCTTTAAAAAACCGTCACACCACTGGAGGGATGGCGTGGTGGGGTGTGGGATTTTTACCCACTAAAAACCACACTGCAAACGTCTATGCCGGAACTGGGGGTTTCGCATGTGCATTCCACCCCGGCTCCGACGCCGATGGTCCACCATATACAGTGTCCATCTAAGAGCAGAATCACAATCCTATAGTAATGGTAGATCCATAGAGGACGGTTGTACGCAAAATGTGTGTGTGTTGAAAAAGCCCAATCTAAGTCATAATAAGGACCCGATGTATCGGGTGCTGAATTTTGTCCTGTCTTTTAGAATAAGAGCGCAAAAAGTGATATTTTAATAATAATAAATGTATTATTAAATAAAAATGAATTTTATTCCAACCAATAGCGCGAATTCATGTTTGCACATTTTTAGCTTTTATTTGCTTACCTTTTAGTAAATCATGATTGGATTGAATGGATTAGTAGCCATTTTGAACCGAGTTAAAAAAAGCGATCTTAGTTGTGTTTTATTTGTAATTATATTATTATATTATATATTTATTTAATGTATTTTACGGAAATATTCACAAATTGTAAGCTTTTCATTTATTCTTTTCTTCTTATGATATTGTCAAAAAAATATACATCTGTTTTCTCTTGTTCTTCTTTATTTTTGTCATTACTGTAATCGTTATTGTAAAATGAAATGAAAATACTTTCTAACTATAATAAAATAATTGATGAAGTGTCATGTCTACTAACAACTACTGTGGTATATTTATTGCACGATACAAACATTTTATCGATTACTGTGGTATAGCGGATTAGTATTCGATTTCATTCCTTGGACGATGCAAACATTTATTATTCATGAGTATGATTCTCAGTATTGATCTGGGTATTTCCTGAGAACGTCTATTATGCATGTGTTTTTAAAATAAAATATTTCAACCAGCTGTTTAGTTTGAGACTGGATGGCGCCAAGTGAATTATCTTAGCTTATTATTGTACGAACTTGATGTTCCATTGCTTTCCAAATATATCGTTTTACATTTTTCGAAATAGAACTCTCCGGTATAAGGTTCAATAAAAATATATAAATATGTTTCTTAAATATACCTTGATTTTTACTCAAAAAATTTATATCCCTAAATTAATACAGTTAGTATTTAGGTTATTTTAAAATAACTTGTGTTTTAGAAACAACATATAAACATTTTCTGCGAATTAAGATGTTTTGGGTATATATGATATTGAAAACAATATTTTAATTTCAGCACCGGTGGGTTATCAATTTATTCCTAATCCGAAAGGTCAGCCCCTAATAATGCTGAATGGTTACACATACAGTAAACACAGTAAAAGTTTAAATTATTATTGCTCAAGAAAGAACATAGGTTGCAAGGCACGACTCAACTTAGCATCGGACGGGAGAATAAAAAAGTGGTTTTGTTTCCACGTGCACGATCCGCCTAAGTTTGTGCTCACATCGTCTGGACAGTTCCTAAAGATCTAGTTACTTTGGTTATATGAAAGTATCTAAAAGGTTGCCAATTTAAAATAAACTTCGAATATTACCTCCTCAAGACGAATACATTTTTGTATTACTATTGTACTTATATGAACATGACATTGTTATTATAATAAACATTAGTGGAATAATACTCGTTATAGAGTTTCGATCTGACTGTTTAAAAGATTTAGTGATGGTAATGATAGTAACTCAATTGGAATAAAATTATATAGATACAGTTTTATGTTGTTTACATCCAGCCACTCTACTAACTAATTTAAGCAGCCAAAACATAGGTTCATTATTACAGTCTTCTGTAGATTAAAGTGTCCACGAACTGGAAGATTTGATGGATTTTTCTTTATATTAAATCAGACTGATCAAATTAACGTACCTCTTGATGTGCCAATTAGTTAGGAGCCGAAAGATTGGCCCTACAGATAGGGTCCTAAATCGTGTCGTAGACGCTTTACTGTGTAGTGATTACCACCAATACGTACTTAAATATATAGACTTAAGTATGTAGAAAGCTATTTATGGTAACCTTAACTGTGGTGACTCCAAAGTGCGTATAACTTTTGTTTGCTTTGGCTACAAATTTAAAAGCATAGCCTAATAGCGATTTGTGATTTTTAGTCAAGTTTTAGTTTTCTTGTTATATTCGATATGTATATATATATATATGTAAGTATATATATTTGCCAAAATTATTTTAGATTTTTGCCTACAAAGAAATTAAAGATATGTTTTACACGCCTCCTAATAGCTTATTGTATTATTTATCAGTCTTTAAATGTCTATATTTAATAGGCACAAACTAAATAATGTCATTATGTATGAACAAAAAATAACTAATAGATATTTTTTTATTTTATGTACAGGTATTACGAAACATTATATGCTAAGATTGTTTGTTGATATACTAAGTATAAAAACAGATTTTTTACTTCAATGTTGGTGAAACACGCTCAAACATTATGTATTTACATATGTATAGTAATCGTTTTTAGGTCCGCTCTGATTGCGGTGCGGTGCGCTAATATGCAGCTCGGTATTTCACTAACGCTTTTTAGGGTATTGATGCGGCTGTTAGATTTTTTAATATTATAGAATAAAACGTCACTATATCGAGGATTGTACTTTATGACATAGGAAAATAGTCACAACTAAGACTTTTAAAATTTTTGAATAAATTGTCATATATTCTTTGTATTATTTATCAAAGTATATATGACAAAATATTAAAAAAATTAAAAAAGGAATGTTATAAAAATATTTTTATATTAACACGTAAAGCAAAAACTTTGTACCCCTTTTTAGGTAAATTGCTCGGGCATTAGAGTATGAAATTTACCACACTTAAAGTTTATAATATAGAGAACGAGTGCAGAATGCTACTTAATATTATTTTTAAATTATTAAAAAAAAACATTACACATACTGCCGTATATTTGACACACACACGCATATATACTGTTCTTTATTGGAAAAGTTTGTAGTTATATTGAGAATAGATT